GGACCTCATTTGGCTATAAAGCCTAACTTAGCCTCACGCCTTCACTATTATGCAGAAAATCAGAATATAACAGTAAAGTACCAAAGAATAGTTCAAGCAATCAGTAAACAATCGAATCTATGAAAGATAACGATCATAAACATGTGACTACGGTCGCGCACTCACCTTAGTTTCTCGGCTGTTGCAGATTCAAGAAAATAGCTGACGGTTTTCAAAAGAACTCTCCGATTCAGAACGTTTCTCTCGGATGCAGTCGAAGTCTCTCGGCGACAATCGAAATCACCCGGCTATCTCACAATCGGATTCGGCGAACTCTCGGATATTTTCAGACAAATCTCAGTCTCTCGGATGAAATCGCTCTCTGAACTTTCTCTCTGTTTTTCTTTCGGATACTTAGGCAGAATGATGAAGTTTCTGTGTTTTCCCCGAGTTAAATGACGGTTTTTGGAAATAACCGTTCAGTAAGTAAATTTGCAGCGTTTTACTTCAAGAAACCAAGGATCAGTAACCGTTCCCGCACTTTTTCACTCAATCAATTAACTTAGCCAGACCAGATTGATGTTCCCGTCCCTTAACCGGCGAATTTTGTTTTGTTTACTGAAATAGCCGGCCTGATTGAAGTTTATCCGAGCAGTTCTCTCGGATATAATCCATAACTGTTCCCGCCAATCTTATCCGTGCCCTTTCCAATAACTCCCTCGAGTATAACCGCTCCCGCTCGGCTATTTTCATACTTAGCGGATATTTCATAATTCATCCGATAATTCCACAAAGTTCCTCGATCATTCCAGCTCGGCTCAGACAAAAATAGCCGTCCTGTCCGAAGCCCGACCAAAGGCCTGAGAAACACGGTTTGTCCGATATTGTCTTGTCTGAATCTCATTTTCACTCGGACATAATTAGCTCAGCTCCATTCAGCTCGGACTTCCCTTAACTGACGTGTCGGAAATCCGACCAACTGTCTGAATTTCACGGACTGTCGGATTTTCACTTGTCCGAACCATTTCTCCTCGGCTAAACATTGGAATCAGCTTAACTGACCCGATCCAGTTCGTTTTAGCTCGGCTATACCTCTTTTTCAACCGATAGCCCAATCTTTACTCAGACAACCCCCTGTTTTTTCCTATTCATTGTCTTAATCCGACTCATTCAGTTTGATCTGAAGATCACGAATGTTACATTGGGCCCGGGTCGTTACAAAATTATCTTATATTACATTGGGCCCGGGTCGTTACAAAATTATCTTATATTATTTGTACATCAATATTGTGTACATTTGTTTTTTGTTAAAGACATTCATATTGTGTACATTTCATTTCTTAATCATAGAAAAGAAACTAACATAAAATAATGTCACCTTTTCATTCTTGCAATTTATGAAAAAAGGCTCATAAAACTTTAATAAAAAATGCATACATAGAATATAAATGCTCTTGACCAAAAAGAAATAAATCAATACAACAATAACACAAGTGTCTTTCTAGGAAATAACACATCAGCTTTTTCAAGTTTTCTAAAGTTGATACCTCAGTTAAAAAAAACAGCAACCAAAACATTTTATTAATACACATCATCTATTAACTTTTATTATTTTTAACTTAAACTCATTAAAAAACCAAATATTTTTTTTATTAATCTTCATTTTATTTTTTCCGAACCCAAGACCAAATAATAAATAACAGCAAATAAAAAAAATTATTTTTAACCATCCCCAAATCCAAATAACGAAATAACAACAAATAAAAAAATTATACATTTGTTTTATATTTTTGGCAAACCGAAACACAAATAATAAATAATAGTGAAAAAAAATTAATTTTTCTAACTATCTGTTTTGCTTGATAGAGACGTATATGATTGAAGGGAGTGTAGACTCATCATCAACTATGTTTCCATAACAACAACGCAAAAAGCGTTATGTTATAAGAAGCACATACATCAGCGAAAATTTGAACCAATAAAAACATAGCAATAATGCATATCATTAACACACTAATAAAATCAGTTTACTATTTTGCTGACCCATAAAAAAACCCAAAGTTAACAAAAAAATGGAAGTCGAAAGCAGATGAGGAGAAGCTCAGACCACCAAAGCTTGGACATTCGCATTTCCGATGGTTACCGAGAACAAATTTTCTTGGGTTTAGCGGGAATAGAAAATTTCTTGGTTTAGGTAGGAAAATGTGATTTTCAGTTTAAGTAGGAAAACATAATTTCTCGGTTATGGCGGAAAAAAGCGAATTCTCGGGTATGGGGAAAAAATGTGAATTTTTGGTTTTGATGAGAAAAGAAAATTTGATTTTGACGCGAAAACAAAATATCTTAGTTTTGACGAGAAAATGCGAGGGAAATGAAAATTTTCAATTTTGACGAAAAAAAACGATTTATCGGTTTTGATATAAAATGCAAATTTTCGGCTTTTGATGGATAATGTGATTTCTTGATATTCGCAGGAAAATGTGATTTCTTAGTTTTTGCGGGAAATTAGAATTTGACAATTTTAGTGGAAAATTCAATTTCTCGAATTGATGGAAAAACGAAATTTCTCGATTTTGGCGGGAATAAACAATTTCTTGGTTGATGGGAAATGTAAATTTTCAGTTTTTGACATATAATGTGATTTTTTCGTTTTTACGAGAAAATATGATTTCTTAGTTTTCGCAGGAAACACAATTTCATAGAAGATAATGAAATTTTGATTTTCGCGGGAAATTGTAGTTTATCAGTTTTGGTAGGAAGCGTGATTCATGGTTTGACGAGAAAAAACTTTTTTTTTTGTTTTGGCGGGAATGAACGATTTCTTGATTTTTGCAGAAAAATATTTTTTTCGGTTTTGCGGGAAAAAAACCTATGTGTCAACACCTTAAGAAAAGTTAGTGCAAAACAATGTCACTTCATAAATGTGACATGACAAATTTCCTAAAACAAACGAAATATTTTGATTGGTTAAGTTAAAACTAAATAAATCTCATTTTTAAATAAGAAAAAATGGTTTATATTATATATGAATGAATTATCATTATATAGAAAGAATTCAAAATTATAATGAAACAAAAAAAAATATACATATAGAAAAATAAATTATAAATATCCTCCTAGCTAATTTTTTATTATTATAATATTGTATATGTGAATAACAAGTAGAAGTAAAGGTAAAAATGAATCTTTATGACTTTGGTTTTATGTCAAAATCTCAGGTTATATTTTTGGTTTAAAGCATTTACAATTCACCTTTATTTTAAATCTTCTATTTTTAAGGAAAAATAACAATCTTTTTTTCCTGTAAAATAGAAATAGGTTGGAGAGAAGTCCACTTATATTTTAGAGGAAAAAATAGAGAAATACATTGGAGATGATCTTAATGTTTAAAAAGTTATTAAATGTTAAGAAAAAAAAGTATGAGTCAAAGAAGACAAAAAAAAAGAAATAAGAATAATTTTGATCGATGTTAAGTTTTTATTTGAGATGTTTAAAATAATTATCTTACACATATTAATTCTTTCATGCATATATTTTTTCTAACATATTAAAACATTATTTCATGAATTAAGTTTTGTATATGTTGTGATCCATTATATTACATATTAACAAATATATTAAAGTTAAGAACAGATCATATCTTAATTTTTAATAAAAATTAAATATTGAATATAATATTTCACACCTTAAACCATACACATATAAGTTTAGATCCGATTGGTTTCAACGATTCGGCTATAGAGAGTTTGTGGAAGAGAGCGATTGCGGATTATAAAAAAATTTGACGAAGAGATGAGCGAAGAGCTACCGGAAAATTTTATAAAATCTAATTTCACAAATTATATAATAAAATTTCACAAAATTTATAATAAAATTTCACAAAATTTATAATAAACTTTTTATGATATTTTTATTGAGAAACCATAATAAATTTTTTTTATTATATTTTTATTGAGATTCCATATATCATTAAACGATGAAAAATAAGAAACTTTGATTAAATACAAAACGATAGAAATGGTTTTCGTGATTGTTGTTAAAATATAACGTTTGCGAAAAATACCAGGAAAAACTTACCAACACCTAAATATTAAAATTCACTTATTTCTAACTCATACCTACATGTATAAATATACTTATATTTTTTCTTAAAAAAAATAACCATGCATTATAAAAATATATATTACCAAACATATACTTTGTTATTTTTTTTAACACATAAAAACCATACTTCGATTTTTTTACAAATATACGTGTAAATATAAATATTAATTGTGCAAAAGTCAAACTCGCATGCAAACTTGTAGTATATACATTTTGTTAACCTCGATTACTCTCTAATATTAATTTTAGTTGTTAAACAATTTATATTTTTTTAAAAAAAATTATATGCCCTAAGAGAGGTGAGGTGAATGGTACGCACGAATGTGCGGCCCAACCATCTACCCGCTCTTAAGATAAATAAATATGGTAAAATTCATTTTGGTTTAATTAGTAATAGGTCAATAAAAACTGTATACTTAATATATATATTGGCAAGATTATATTATGTAAAGAGAAAAAGAAAGTAATATATTGATAATATTCAAAACATATTATAAAAATCTAATTTTTATTTAATATAACTTTTACATTTTTAATTATATGTTACTGTAAACACTAGGAAAAATAAAAAGTTTTCAAAAGACACAAAACCATATGAAACATTTGTGTGATTGTTGTTGAACACTAAAATTGTCTATGTATAACATTATATCATTTATATAATGTATAAGAAAATCATTCAATACTTAAATATTATAACTAATTATGTCTATAAAAAATTATATTTGAACATGCATGCAGGAAAATAATAAAAATTAATTAAATTATTTTATATTTTAATATTTTATCTGTTTAATTAGTTATCATATTTAATTTTTTATCCAAATAAATATTTTAAATTCTTAGTTAGTATTTTTATTTTTATTTTCTATTGAAATATATAAATGTTATATTTAATTAATCGTTATTTTTATTATTAAATATTTATTATTTTATTATTAATACATAAATAATCATATACAAATAAAACATCTTCAATACTATATTAATTATAAAATGTTATATAGCATGCACACATTGCAAGCCAATCAGCTAGTAATATATTATCTGAGAAAATGGTGTATTTAAACTACTTTGTTCTGTTGATCCATGGATTCCTTGTAAAGGATAGAATCCGAGTACGCCATATTTACACGATTACGGTAATGCCTAGACTTTTTTATATCCACAAATTTCTTTGCGTTTTTGGTGTTACTAGTACGCTCTCTTGTCTCAACTGCTTGGGTAGATTCCAAGACTTTTACCACCTCCGACATTGTTGGTCTATATTTGGGATTCTGGCTTAGACATTTGAAGGCTAGGGCAGAAGCTGCCCGAGCCGCCTCAGTTTTGTACTGGCATTCAAGCCTCGGATCGATGATCCGTTCTAGCTTTCGTTGGTCTCTCAACATGGGCCGTGCCCATTCCACTAGGCTTTGTTCCCTTCGTGCCCGAGTATTGTCCATTGACCGTTTCCCGGATATAAGTTCTAACAAAACGACTCCAAAACTATACACATCATTCATTGTCGTCAAGTGACCTATCACGCAGATAAATCATTAGAACTAAATTTCAAAGCATATCAGTTATATAGTATAAAACAGTTTCTTAATTCTATATAAAAATGTTACCGGTCATAATATATTCGGGCGCAGCATAACCTTGTGTTCCCATCACACGAGTTGTTACATGTGTGTGGTCTCCTTCAGGTCCATCTTTGGCTAGACCGAAATCAGATAATTTGGCGTTGTAGTTCTGCAAATTCGCAAAATCTATCATATTAGCAATTTGATTTTCTAGTGCTTAAAGAAATATATCGGAAGAGAAAACAAAACAAAAACAATACTCACGGAGTCTAACAATATATTGGAGGTTTTGAAGTCTCTATAGATGACTGGTTTCTCTGCTTCATGGAGAAAAGCTAAACCTTTGGCGGCTCCAAGTGCTATTTTCATCCTAATTCCCCATGACATTGCTACACTATTTCCTGTCCCAATTTAAACATACTAATAAAATATTGTTTAATTTTTTAAAAAATATATGTAGTTAACATATTATTAAATTTATATATGAATGATACAGTCAATTAAGGGAAATTAGAGCAATTTTTTTTCCTTTTTATCATCACTATTACGAAATTAAAATAAAATATATATTGGTTTTTGTCATATTTATGCGCTTGCTTGGTAGATAACCAAATGAAGAGCCAAAATTGAAAATAGAGAACAATGTGTGTGTGTGTGTTTTTGTACGTCAAATTTATTATTTTACTAAAAATTATTAAAATAGTTATAAATAATGTTTTTTTATGTAAACTCGTGTGTTATTGGGTAAACTTGATACAATATAAAAATAGGAGCAAAATCCATATAGTATATTTTATTTTTAAAAGTGTGATAAAATGAACCAACAATCATATGATGCCATCAATAAATTTTGCAAATAAATGACAATATATGTTCATTGATTGGTATTACTCATTTTTCTTGGTGTCATTCAATACTTAGAGAAAAAAAGTTGTTTGATGTACCCTAAGGTTGAAACGAGAACTGGTACCTTTTTTCAACAAACTAATGTAAGAAAGTGAATTTAATCACAATTGAACTAAGTTAGTGTATGAGGTAAAAATTTAGTAGACGACTTACTTCTAAAGAGCTGATTCTCCAAGCTACCTCGAGGCATGTACTCATAAACAAGCACTCTTTGATCTTCTTCACAACAAAATCCTATGAGCTTCACAACATGTTCATTACTTAACTGTCCCAAGAATATTATCTCCGCCTGTAAGTAAACAAAAGAGATCATTCGTTAACTTATATGTAAAATAAATCAAAGTTCATGAAAATGAATTCGTAACGGGGCTTCCTACTTAAATTGTGAAAAACAAAAAAGTAATCACAATTTAAAGAAGTATAAGTAATCAGCACTGTCTTCCTGCTAAATTTTTTTCTCTTCTTTTAATGGAAAAGTCTTGAATATAATGTTTCAAGACTTTTTATACACTATGTGTGTGTATCTTTGGGCTAGTTCATAAACACATACCGAAATAGAGAGATAAAGATATGTTACCAGCCATTCTCTATGGCCTTGATGACCATGAAGATCAAGTGCCTTAACCGCAACTCGCTGGGCTTCTAAAGACGGTTTAACCTTATCGTCAATAAACCCTTTGTAAACCGGACCAAACCCTCCTTCTCCCAACAAGTTACTTCTTGAAAAATTATGCGTAATCATTCTGAGCTCAGACAACGTGAACAAACGAAGCTTTTGAGATGTGAATGAGTTTGAAAGATCATCCATGACCGACATGGGTGAGCCTGGATCACTTATGTCCGACAAAGACAGCCTCTTGAACGCCGGACAAGTTCTTATTTTCATTGCGTCATCCTCTCCTTCGTATCTACTCGCGTTCTTCGCTCTGTAACATCCTAAGAACAGAGATGTTAATGTTGTTTTCTGCTTCTTGATTACTGCCATTTCTTCTACTTTGGAGAAAAAGTTAGCTATAGATAGTCTTTTAATCTTTTTGAAATATATTTTGTAGAGTGCGTAGGTTTAGAAATTAAGGATGTTTTAGTTAACCTACTTGCCTTCAAAGTCCTGTATTTATAGTAGTTGTTGTGTCATTTTCATACTGACCGACCTTGGAACTTTCGCTTTGTATATAAAAGTAGTTGCTTTTTTATATTCGTTGTAATACTAAATTTTTTAATTTTGGGGCGTACTTAATTTGTTGTTCTAGTTCTACTTTGATGTATTTTTCAGGAGAAACATTGATTGTTCTCGTTAATTTCCCACAATAAAATATTAATGTTGAAAAATTTAGTATATTGTTTTCAAACCTTAGTTTTCTAAATTCTAAATCGAACATTAATTAAGTGAAAGTATTTTCACAATAATGTTGATTTTTTTATTTTTTTGAAAAGGAATAATAATGTTGATTTTAGGTTCTTTCTAATGTACTTACTCATATCTTACAAAAGTCTACGTACTAAAAGAAGTATTTTATTATGATTGCAAAGAATTTTAAGGTCTACATTCCACTAATCTCATATCTTGTACAAGACTTAGTAATTTATGATACATTTGTTCTAATAATTTTTTTAGTTATAAAATAATTTTAGTACATCTTTCCGGCTGGCAGTTAAAGATTACGCACAAGGGGAGATATGATTCGCCTTGTTGAGAGGAGAATGAGATGATTAGGACATTATTGGATGTCCGTTGACTTTGTTTCTTTCGTGATAACAATTCAGGGGGTAATGAAGCGAGCAAATTCGTCCCATTTATTGTATTACTCTAAATTAATGACAAATAAATAACTACGGGTTGGTACTTGATACAATATTTGAAATGTGGTTCAAATAAAGCTTCTTTGAATCTTTGTTTCTAGCTTAAGGGGATGGAGGAATGACTTGTGATTTGATAGTCAGGTTGAAACTTGATGACCACAAACTCTAAAGGTTAAACTCTATTAGCTCAAAGACTAATCCTCACAAGAGCTTAGAAGACTCTACATGTTCTATCAGCTTCTGAATCCCTCAAGAAACTAGATACAAATCGCAGGAACAATTTGATTCAAAAGACAAACTTTTCTTTGAAACAAAAATAAACTTTATTTGATTATAACTTGGTGGGTATGAAAGTACAAGCTTATGAGCTTATATAGTGCTCAAAAATGCAGTGTAAAAAACGGTAACAAGGTAATAAAAACAAAGCATAAAGTTTAGCTTGACTTGTAGCTAGTCTATGGGCATAAAAGGGGAAAATGCTTGATTTGGGGCAATGAGAGAGGGGGAACGAATCTTGTGGTCTTGATCTTTGTATGAACGTCCAGGATCTTCTTTAGAGGATGGAGGGTCGAGATTGCTGAGAGAGAGTGGTCGTTGGTCATAGTATCCCTTTGGAGCAAAGTTAACATGCTTAGAAAAGGAAACTGTCTTCATGGTGATATCTTCTTTGGTTTGCAATGTTTTGACTTGGTTATTGGCTTGGTCTGGTGGTTTAGAGCTCTTGGTATCTTCATAACATGCCAAGGAATGTAAATGAGGCGTGGTGATATAAGATATGTTGGAAGTTTCCTTAAATGGTCTTGAAAACGTGAATGTTGGTCCATTCACGTGATTTGGTGGTTCTGGTGGTTTGGCTTGGTCTTCTTGTGAATTAAACTGGCCCAGCCATGGTTTAGCTTGATCAGAACGTCCTTTTTGATGCATAGAACGACAGTGTTTTGTTGTTAAGTCCTTAGCTCCTTTGAAAACAGTTAGATGTCTCCTTTGCTCCTTATCTTCAAGCAAAACAGGTTATAGCTCCTCTCCTTTGTGATTCTAATAAAAACAAAGCATAAAGTTTGGCTTGACTTGTAGCTAGTCTATGGGCATAAAGGGGGAAAATGCTTGATTTGGGGCAATGAGTTTGTGGTCTTGATCTTTGTATGAACGTCCATGATCTTCTTTAGAGGATGGAGGGTCGAGATTGCTGAGAGAGAGTGGTCGTTGGTCATAGTATCCCTTTGGAGCAAAGTTAACATGCTTAGAAAAGGAAACTGTCTTCATGGTGATATCTTCTTTGGTTTGGAATGTTTTGACTTGGTTATTGGCTTGGTCTGGTGGTTTAGAGCTCTTGGTATCTTCATAACATGCCAAGGAATGTAAATGAGGCGTGGTGATATAAGATATGGTGGAAGTTTCCTTAAATGGTCTTGAAAACATGAATGTTGGTCCATTCACGTGATTTGGTGGTTCTGGTGGTTTGGCTTGGTCTTCTTGTGAATTAAACTGAGATGGAGTAAGGATGAGAAGAGGGACAAGAAACGGCTGGAAAGGCTTCGGTTTGAGCCTACCAAGTTTGCTGATCGAGAGCTGTTGTCCAAGCTAGGGATTCTTGGGGATTTCGACCAACTCCTCAAGAACATTGGCTTGAGATGTCTGTCACGGATGGATTGCCCAACCATTCCTGAAGTGACAATAGACTTCCTTGCCACCTTGGAGTTCCGTTACGAGAATCCTAGCACACCGGTCCCTTCTCAAGGTCGCCTCTACTTCAAGGTTGGCCGTCAAGCCTATACACTCTCCATCCCTGAGCTATGCCAAGCTTATGGTCTCAACGTGGATGCTTACAAGGTCGAGTTCCCCGCCTTCAAGAAAGCCGACGACTTTTGGGACCTGATCAGCAATGAAGACTACAAAGCCAACACCGCCAAGATCAAGCGAGTAAGGAGCCCGGTGCTGAGGTACACTCTGAAGCTGATTGCCAACACGTTTAGTGGAAGATCTGTTGCTCCTACGGTCACGAAGACAGAGCTGTGCTTCCTGTTCCAAGGTGTGAAGCACTTGGTGTGTGATCCGGATGCAAATGACGAGCCCATGGAGGATGAACTCGGCGATGAAGTGAACTACGGGTGTGTGCTCGCGGCTTCCTTGGTGAAATACAAGGCTTATGCCTTGCGGTGCAAGGCAACTTCCTCTTACATTGGCGGTTTCCTTACTCCTCTGTTCGTGCAAGCTGGTGTGCCCATTCACGACTTTGCTCACGTCCCAACCAAAGCTTTCATGGACGAGGCATACATGAGGAACACTGACAGCTTGGGACGCACGCCAGCGGAAGGGTTCTACGCCTACCTCTTCATAGACGACGAAGATAAGAAGAGAGTGTGCATCCTGCCCAACAAAGATGAAACCGAGCTGCTTGGTGTTGGGAACATCGAGTTCTTGCCCACGGAGGAAGAATGCTTTGCCCCTTTAGGAGGACCACCTGCTTCAGCGATTGCCCCTCGTCAAAGGTCAGAGTCTCCAGCCACGGAAGATGAGATTCCTGAGGCCTACACACTTCCCAAGCTAGACTTTGAGCCGAGGACAAAAACCGAGAAGTTCCTACATCGGTTGTGGAGATGCAAAGGAAGATCAACAAGTGGCAAGGCAAGATGCTCAAGAAGCTTGGAAAGAAAGTCAAGGCACTTCAGGGAGGCTCGCCTAAGAAAGCTGCAAGTCAAGAGGTGCAACAACCCGAGAAGAGAAGGCTCTCAACCGGTGGAGTTGTCATCCGCGAGACCCAAGGAAACACCATTCAGCCGGCGCGCCACTCTCTCCAAGAACCAGCCGACAAAGACAAGACCATAGTCTCTAGCTCCTCTGGAACATCCTCAAGTTCCAGCCGAGACTAGACCAGAGGTAACAACCTTCTTCCATTGTACATAACGCTCATATTTGCTTCTTTTTGCTTTGTGTTTTGATGCTCCTTCAAATGAGTTTGCCACCGGGACGGTGTCAAGCAAGTTTGGGGGAGTACATGTGTGATTTGACTTGTGTTTTGTGATCTTATTTTCTTTTAGCATCCTTGAGTGTTTAGTTCATGAAAAATTGGTAAAATTTTTAAAATTTTTTCAAAGATTCATGTAGTTGCATTCATCTTGTCAAAACATGTTAGGATTGAGTCTAGAGTTTCTCATAGCATCTAGGTTGTTTGCATTTTGCATAAGGGGTTAGAATTTCTTAAAAAGGTGTTTTTACTTATGAATTGTTTCAATGCCCTAGTTAGTAGTTCTCTAATGCTTTGTCTATGCTTTGAAAGTAAGTTCTTACCATGCTTGGATCACTTGTTAGGATTTTCGTGGCTTAAATTGAACTCTCATGATTTGAAACTCATCCTAATAAGTGAAAACCTTAATTTGAAATTCTAATTATCATCCTTATGCATTTGAAAATGAACACATGGTTTTAAAATATTTAGGCTCTCTTCTTCATTTTTACCACTCTTTGTGAGCCTAAGTAGAACTCCCTTCATTGAAGCCAAATATTCTTGTGTGACATCTTTATGAGGCCTTCCTTTCGGTTTGAACTTGGCATAAAGTGTTAGGTTTAGGCGACATGATTTGGTTTTCATATGATTGCTAGCTTTGCATTTTGAAGCTAGGTATAGGCTTAGGATAAGTTTGGGGGATCATTGGGGTTGCTTTCTTGCCTATTTGTTCTCGGTTTCAAAGAACTTTGTGTTTTAAAGAAAGAAATAGGTTTTAAGTGAAAGGTTGTTTTTAAAACTAAGTATGCTCTAATAAATTTCAGGAGGTAGCTCTCCCATAATAAAAAAAAAAGAGAAAAGAAAAGAAAAAGAAATAAAAACAGCCTAAATGCCAAATAAAGAAAAAAATAAAAGAAAAAAATAATAATAAGAGAGCTACCAATAAGAAATATCTAAAGAGCAAAAATATTTTTCAAAACCTTTTCACTAGCCTAAAAAGTTTAAAAAATTCTTGATTCGGATTGGGGGTTGCTAAGTTTTGTGAAGAAAAAGGGTAGACTCTTAAGTGGTGAGTGAGGATAAATTTGTTAAATGAGAGGGGTATAGGATCGTTTGATAGTTTACATGGGTAGATGAGAATCTAATCATGTATGTATAAATTGTCTTTACCTTTAGCATTATGCACAAGTTCAGCCATTTTTGAGAGAAACCCTTGTTCTAATTATAAACACTTTTCAAAT